CGGGTCTTTTGTGATACAACAGTGAATAATTGTTATCAGGACTGATTGTGAGGCTTGGAAATGTAAAGGTAGATGTTTTATACCAAGGAGGGGAGTGACTAACTTTTCAGTCTAGGAGCGTAGGTCCCTAGGACCATCAAGGGAGAAGAGCGGGACCCTATCCAGAGAAGCAGTGATGCCTGAAATGGAGGCAGAGATGATGACGAGGAGCGATGAAACAGCTGGAGACTCTAGATCCAGAGAGGGAGAGCGACTGTTTGTTGAAGACCTGGGGAGTATGGGGGTGGGGGGGCAGGATTGCAGGGTATACCCTTTGGTTGGTTGATGATGCATGGAGGGTATTGTAACCAAGGCAATGAGACGATATACGATAGAATGAATGTAAAATTAATGTTCTCCCATGTAAACTATCACATAATTCACAATAAAACTTTTAAGAAAAAAAGATCCCTCTAGAAAAACAAAAACAAAAACAAAAAATAATCAAACGATGTCTTGGATTAGGCAAATCCTCTATACAAGACCTCTTAAAAGTGTTGAAGAGCAAAGATGTCAGTTTGAGGACTAAGGTGTGCTGACCATGGTATATTCAATACCTCATATGCACGTCAAATTGGATAGTGAATAAGGAAGACCATAGAAGAATTGATGCATTTGAATTATGTTGTTAGATGACAATATTGAAAGTACCATGGACTGCCAAAAGGACAAAAAGTCCAGTGTAGGAAGAATTACAGCCAGATTCTCCTTAAAAGTCAAGATGGACAGAATTCATCTCTAATAGTTTGGACATATTTTTAAAAGTGACCAGTCACTGGAGAAGGATATCATATTTGGTATAGTGGAGGGTCTGAGAAAAAGAGGAAGACCCCTCAACAAGATGGATTGGTACAGTGGCAGAAGCAATCGGCTCAGGTTTTGAGGTTGATCCAAAACTGGGCAGTGTTTGTTCTGTTGTGCATCAGTAGTGACTCGATGGCACCTGAAAACAACAATAACAATTTATATTCCTTTTTTTTTTTTTTCTAGCATTTCCTTCAGATTTTTCCTTGTATTCTTCTTTACTTTCACAAACTTTCTATTCTTCTATGTTGTCCACTTTTTTTCATTAAAGCCCTTAATACATTAATCCTACTTATTTTGAATATACTGTGTCATAATTTCAATATTTATGTTCTGAGTTTGATACTGATGAAAATTTGTTTCTCTAAAATGTGTGTTTTTTGATGTCCTTAGCATGCCTTCTAGTTTTGATGTTGTTGAAATATACGTGTCTTGTACCAGGTATGGGGTTTATTGTGAGTTTGATATCAGTCTGGCTAGGAGTTTGGCCTGCTTTGTGCCAAAGGCTTCAACTTCTTTTTGTGTTCTTACTTTTGCCTGTCTTCTTATCTTTTGACTTTCTCAAATACTACTCTTCAGAGATATGCTTTGTCTTACAACTCTTCAAATTAGAATACAATAATATTATATTACAGGCCTGTTGATATGAGAGAGAAAGGTGTTTTATAATCTCATTAATTAAGCCTGTTTTTTAGTGGTCTGTGTATCTGGTCTGTGATTGTCATAAGTTCTTTTTAGTTTTCTTTTCTTTTTTCTCATCAGCATAGTTGATAGAGGAAGTTATCAGGAGGACTGGAGTGACAGAAATGCCCTTTCTTTAGTTGGCATAAGGCTCTGGCAAAATGTTTCTTCCTGGAGGCAGGCCATTTCTATGGAGGAGATTCTGGGCATATTTCATTTGAATTACTCTTCATCTTCCTTTTCCAGAGCCATGAAGGAACCTTACTAGGCTCTACACCATGAAAAACCTGTTGAAATGGACTAACAAAAAATAAAGAACTTTTACTAATCTAAAGACACAATTGTTGTTTTTAATTACCGTAAAGCAGGTTCTGACTCATAACAAACCTGTATATGATTTCTGAGGAGCAGCTTGAACCACAGACCTCGGAGTTAGCAGTCCCATGCTTATCCTACAGTGCCACACCAAGACACAGTGCAAATATGTACAATGGTGTGGAAGAAAACATTCAAAATAAATGTAGTAAAAAATACACTAATATCTAGACTTCCTAAGAACTCTTTCAATATTAAGGAAAATAGTCAAACTGAAACAGGGGAAAAAGCAAATGGAAAAAAAAAAGGATATCCAAATGACCAATAAACATGAAAGTAACTCAACTCCATCAGTCTTTACAGAAATGCAAACTTTAAATACTATTTGTTGTAGTTACTAGAATTTGAAAAAGTACTGGAAATTCCAACTATTGGTGATTATATAAAGGAACTGGAACTCTTATCATGATAGTGAAAATCAATATTGATGTAAGTGCAGTGTGTCTTTCAGGCCGTGTCAGCTAAACCTAAAAAGGCACATACCATGCAAACTATGAATCCCACTCCTATTTATATTACCAGTAAAAATGCCTTCCTATCAGATTACATAAGAGTATTCTGTGAATTATCCCTAATGGATCCAAACTGGCAACAACGCATACGTTCAACCACAGAAGAAAAAATTGTGGTATACAAATACTCTGTTAATTACACATCAAAGAAAACCAACAGACACACAACAACATGAACAAATTTCACAAAATGTTGCCTAGGAAAAGAAGCCAGGTACAAAAGAATAGACCCTGAATGATTCCATTTTTTTTTAAAGCTCAAGAACAGGGGAAACTAGAATATAAGGTTATAAATCAGAATAAGAGCTTCAACTACATAGTTCTGATTTGTGCATAAATTACTACCTATGAATATTTCTACTAAATTCTCATTAAACTTACTTTAAAATAAACTGACAAGATCAACAGAAGCATGACTGAGATAATAGAGAAATTGAGTCACAAAGTGATTTCTTCATTAAGGTAGAGTCAAGGAGAAGTCCAGGGGTAGGTGCCACAAATGGACTGCTGACGTCAAAAACTAAAAATGTCCAGGATAGCAAAGTGCATAAAACCGAAGAATGGAGTGTATTAAAAACAAAACAAAACAGCAACAGACTGAGCATGATGATAAAGGACATCTGGCATTCTGCTTCAGTTTCAAGAGGTACTTAAGGAGAAAGGACACTGTAAAAACAAAATGTATGGCTCATCCCATCTGATCAGCTGCTAATTAACTCCCAGCAATCCTTGTCTTTCTATAATACAGGCACCATTTTTAATAGATGCTTTCTATATATTCTAGAACTTTTCAAAGTATTCCATTATCTCAAAAAGTGAGATGTTCATATTTTACACCTTAGTTTTGTTTTAATTTGTAAAATCCATACCACCATACTTTTTTATGTTGAAGAAAAATGCATCTTTAATCAAAATGCATCCAATAGTTTAAGAGTGTATAAACTCCTAGTAAATTCTGATAGTTCTGATTTGTCTTGTGCCCCTCTGTATCCTGTTTTTCTGGTATAGGGTGTTTTGTCATATAATAGGCAACAAATTTTTGCAAATCAATAGTCATAATCGAATTTGGGCTGTGCTTTAAAAAACGAATATATGAATATGAATTTTCAAGGCAGATAAAAAAGTAGATGTGCATCCTGGTCTTCTTTATAACACATGCAAAAGGGTGGAGAACTGTAAAAACAATAACACGTTTGAGGACTTACAAGCATGCTTGCTGATTTTTACAAAAAAAATAAGTATTGGATTCCTTGTGAGGCACTGCGAACCACAGATGGACAGGACTGCGAACCACAGATGGGCAGTCCAAACTTACCAGCTGCTCCTCAGAAACTCTATACTGGATCTCTTGAGTCAAAATCGACTTGATGGCACTTGACAACTACAAGATATGTATTACAAAGCCCCAGTGGCGTAGAGGGTTATACATTGGGCTGCTAACTGCAAGGTCAGCAGTTCAAGACCACCAGATGCTCCTAGGGAGAAAGAAGACTTTCTCTTCTCCTGTCAGGATTTACAGCTTCAGAAATCCTTTACAAGGTTGCTATGATTCGGAATCGACTCGATGAAACATGATCACCACCACCACCACCACCACCAAGGTAAGTATAGAGAAGTCTTAGTATTTGCAATGATTAACACACTAAGATGCTAACCTAAATGCTTAATGTTCAAATCCACTCAGAAGTATCTCAGAAGAAAATCTTGGAAATTTATTTCCAAAATTCTTCTTTGAGCATACTCTGGGAGCACAATTCTACTCCGGCACACGTGGGGTCACCCTGAGTCAGAATCCACTTGGCATCTACTGGTAGTGCAATGTTGAGCAGAAAGAAATGAACCCAGAGAGGTAGCAAGAAGAAGTACAATGAAGGACACCTCGTGATAAGGAATTTTTACCTTATGAAGTTATGGAAGATCTAAGCCAGGATGAGACATGATCCAGTATGCAATTATAAAGAACATTCTATTGGAATCCTGTTCACTGGAATCAGTGATTTCTAACTTTGCCTTCTCAAAATAAACTCCACTAATGGCTTCATTGGAGTGTATTTTGAGAAATGTGTGGCGCTGTGGGTTAAAGCGCCAGACTGCAAAGACATTTGAACTGCAAGGTTGGCGGTTCAAGCTCACCAGCTACTCTTTGGAAACCATATACAGGGTCTCTATGGGTCAGAACTGACTCGATGACACTTAACAACAACAATAACAATGTTTTTTTGCATCTCTCAAGTACATGGAATTAGAGATCTAGAAAGCAGTTTGAGGAATTATGTATCACATTGTACGCAGTTAAGGTTGGTAATTTCTGTGTTAAGAGAAAATAATCAAAGACGCATTGATGAACCAGATTCATAATAGTGACTTAATCTAATTTATTAAATGAAACAAATATTTCCCATACTCGAATGCACATACAGCCATAATTTTATGTCAAAGGCAGATTAAAAGAATCAAAAATATCAGAAGAGTAGCTTGCAATTTGATCTAGCACAGAAACGAGAAAACAAACTAAACATGAAGAAAATGTACCCAGCATATGAATTTGATCCAGACTCCTCAGCATAATTTCTTAATGGAACAAGTAGTCTACCATTGTCCCAGTACAGAGCAAGATGGACGACAAGTACTGAAAATGTGGGTCAGAGGCTGATAACCAGTTGGGAGACACTGCACGGGTCTGAGGCTACTAGAAACAACATTAAGTGGTTGAGGACCACAGGTCAATCCACCCAAGGGTCGACATCCATATGTGAAGAGGCTCAGGGGTCGACAGCTGTTGGAGAAACAGTTTAGTGGTCGGTAGCCAATGGGTCCACAGCCCAAGGGATGGCTGCTGTAGAGCAGGGGACTTAGTGGACGGCAACCACTGGACACAAAGTTGAGAGGTCTACAGGATACTGGGAGGCAAGTGCTGGAGATGGAGGAAGACACAGGAATAAAGCTGGTTCCTTGGCAGGGTCTGGGAACATAGCAAGCAGTGGGAGGACAGGAAGAAGCTTCACAGTTGTTGTGCTCACTGTTGGTTGGCTGACAGATGGTTGATTCACCACAGTTGTCTCTAGTTGATTCACTGAAGGTGTCTTGGCAGTTGTCCAGGAGCCAGGAATTGCCTTGACAGCTACTGGGTAGGCAGATAGTATCTCCATAGCTCATGTCGGTAGAGCAAAGGGCAATGGAGGAGGAGGCAGGTATATGGCAGACATTTCTGCGGAATCCTGAGCTGTAATTTCCAGAGCAGCAGTTGCGGCAAGACATAGTGAGGTTTTCAGATCAGGCTGTGGCTCAACGGAAAGAATCAAGTGGCTCAAGTTTGACTGTGCCCCTCGTTGGCTTGAGCCTTATATATATATCCCTGGAAGAGGGTGGTTCTTGGTTCTGTATACAGACTCTCTTCCTCCTTGTTGTATGAGTCTGCATCAGAAGTCTGCATTATAGCCCAGGAAGTTGTACTCCCACCTCCCATAAAACTGGATGTTTTGTGCAAAGCTTTAAATAGATAAAGAATGGCTATAAACTAAGATAGCTAAAATTTTAATAGGATCTCTCCTTCTTAAATCATCCAACACAAACAGACATTTTAGATGGCCATATACTTATTCCAATGATAACCACAACTGTACAAACACTCTTAAATTCCTCTCTTAGAATTGTCTTTAAAATTTGTAGCAAGCTTCTTAAAAATAGTGGGAAATTGTTTATTCTTCAGCGATACATTTCTACCTTATTTGGAAATTGCCAAAGTAAATAACTTGGAAGCAAATGTGTTGAAAAAGAAAGTGGGCAATCCTATAATTTCTAAGGTTAGGGGCAGAGTTTAAAAATGCAGAATATGGAAAATTCAATATGCCCAATTTTGTGCTTTGTTTTATTTCAGAATCCCATCCAAACATCTTAATGTACAAAATGTGAGTTCACTTTATTCATTGCAATCAATAAACATAATCAGTGAAACTGGAAGTTGTTTTTTGTTTCAAAAAGTCATTTTTTAAATATAGGTAACAGTCGGGCTCAGTTAAAATTACTGATCTTCCACTGAACAAAATCAAACAAGCAGAGCACCTTGGAAAGAAAATTGGGCAATGATTTTGTGACCTTTTAGGTTTATTTATTTCATGGTATACTTATGTTCCAACCAATGTTGCAGTACTCGGTAAGCAAGGTAAGCATGAACTTATTTGTACTTACTTAATCTGGTAGCATAGTGGTTATGAATTGGGCTGCTAGTCTCACAGTCAGCAGTTTGAAACTACCAGCTGTTCCGTGGGAGAAAGATGAGGCTTTCTGCTGCTGTAAAGATTTACAGCCTTGGAAACCCTGTACAGGGTTGCTATGAGTCAAAACCGACTCCATGGCACATAACAATAACAAGAACTTATCTGTAGTAAACAATTTCACATGAATTTTCATCATATTTTGTTAATTACAGCTTAGTAAATAAATACAAGTAAGACCATGCTTACTTTGCTTATTGGATAATCCTCACTGGGTTCCAACTGAAAACTACTCTTTGAGTCAAAAAAAATAAGATATAAACATTGATTTTGCTTTGTATGCTGGTTTTGACATGATTTCAAAAGAGGTGTTCCTAACTTCATTATATAGTCAATAGCATCAGGCAAAATGTACAATGTTCCTACGTATCAGTATTCTGAAGGCTATTTGAAACTAAATTTTGTAGTGAGAAAATTTTTAATAAACACAATTTTGTCTATTTTCAAGTGTCCAACACTATTTTTCATATGTCTGCATATCCAGTGACTAAGATGGCTATTTTAGTGCAAGTTTAAATGATCTTCCAAATCTGAGTTCCAAATCTCTTTGGTTAAAAATTCAATTTATGCTATAAAACTTTCATCCACTTTAATGTTCAATGGACACATCTACACCTATGAAGTCTTTCTCTGTCCAGGAGGAGTAGAATTTATAGAATAAAAGGGTAGTCTATGAGGCAATGTTGGCCTATTTTACTAACAAAGATAGAAAGAAAGTAGAAAATGAGACTCTGTAATATATGAGATTCTGTCCCAACATGTGAAAATTATATCAGTATTTTAGATTGGAGACTATTACCCTTTTATGATTTGCATCTAATGTGTTTGAAGAGCCCCAGGCCTTCATCGCCTGCCAGGCAATCTTTGTACACAGCTAGCTGAGTCCTCTTGTGAAATCCTGGTTGCATCAGTTGAATAGCATTAGTAATAGGTGAAACCATCTTTAACTGAACACTTCTTAAAATGATGCATCAATACTTTATGCCTGCTTTTTTTCTAATGTAAACAAGAGCCTACCACCTACATCATGTGTGTGTCTCGGTATGTGTTATATATGAAGTACAATGGCTCAAAATCATGAAGATGGTGTAGGAACTGGGTATGAATCTGTAGCTCTGAGTCAGGCCAGGTCAATGACAACTAGCAACATCAACAATATGTATACATGGAGTCTCTGGTTGATAAATTGGGTATTACACTCAGATGCTAACCTCAGGTTTAGAGTTCTGAGTCCAGCCAGATGTGTCCCAGAATAAAGATCAACTTCCAAAATAATCAGCCACTGAAAAAACCCTATGAAGCAGTTTTAGTAATGAGTCAGGACTGTTTTATTGGCAACTGGTATTCGTATACATCTTGATGGTTTCCATGAAGGGAGAGACTACAGAAGAAGAGAGAACAAGTCTAATATGTAATAGGCTTCTGGTATGCATACCCACATGTGTAATATCATTTTATCCTCATAACTTAAAATAGTACATTTACTCTTTGAAAGATTCCTATGAGAAAATTTGGAATTTAGAAAACCGGTAATTGATAATAAGCAATCATTTGAATAAAGGCTCCGTGACACCAAAACATTTTTTCCTGTCATTAAGCAATATGGCATTATGTTGACTGTATTGAAATTGTCCTTTACTAGCTGTGTGACCCTGGACAGTTTGCATAATCCCTCTTAAATCTAGTAACAACCATTATTTCTGGGAAGAATGGTAATTTTAATTATATATAATTACATGATTCAATATATTAAGATATAATAAAAAGTTAACGCAAACTGCAAATCACTGTAGATATGTTGCAGTTGTTATCTAGCTTTGGCATCCTTACCCTACCTCTTTCCAAAGAGTACTATCCTTGCATTTAATTTTTATAGAGTAGTCTGGTGTGGTGCTGTGGGTTGATGTGCTGGACTTCAAGGTCTCTTTGAACTGCAAGGTCAGTGGTTCAAGCTCATTAGCCACTCCTCAGAAATCCAGGGTCACTATAGGTTGGAACCAACATGATGACAATTAACAATAGCAACCATGAGTATTTTTTTCCTGTTATTGATATGTAACGCTGTGAAAATAATCCATGGGATTTCATAAAATGAAGTCTCCCAAATATAAGCTATACTTTAAAATAATATATGTTGCACTGATGTTTCTCAAGTATGACTAGGCACTATATATAATGGAAGGACTTATTTGAGTATACTACAGGTATCTCGGAGTCCTGGTGTAGCGCTATGGGCTAATGTGTCAGACTGCGAAGTCGTTTGAATTGCAAGGTCGTTGGTTCAAGCTCACCAGCTGTTCCTTGGAAACCCTATACAGGGTCGCAATGGTTCAGAATCAACTAGATGACACTTAACAACAACAACAACAACTAGAGGTATCTTATTAGCAGGGTTCTATAAATATATAGCTAGATCAGAGGAACCTAGTGCCACTAATAAAAGAGCCATGAATGTAGTGTGTCCTTTAGACCTGGGGCCCCTGCACTGTGAAGCTCCTACATTCAGTGAATATTTGATACCAAAAGATCTCTAGGAATACTGGACCTATTTATGCTTAAACATGACTTCTGAGTTTCTAAGACTAGGGCCTTAAGTTTTTTAAATTTCAAGAAGTTGGATCTCCTCCAACTCTGTTTTGGAGTGTGGGCTGCCATTAAGATGGGACTATTGCCCAGAGCTGAGGGGACAGGGTTTCCATGTTCAAGAGGGCAGAAAAATGGTGCTTGCCAGGGCCAAAGGGTTGGGACCACCACTCATATGGACTAGAAGAAGTAGAGTTGCTTTTCCAGTAATCTGGAAGGTAGAGCTGAAGTTCAAGGTTGAGAGACCTCTAACCAGAACCCAGAGTACATGGCCATCATCCAGGATCTGTAAGCAGGGCTATTGATAAATGGACTCAGGGAACAGAATATACTTTTCAGTCTTTGAGAAATAATGTACATTGTTCTGTTGTGTATTTAATTTGTTTCCTGCCTATTATCACTTCTTTCCCTCCAATTGATCTGCTTTGTAATGGAAAAAAATCTTCCATTTGCCTACTCCACCATTGTATTTGGAAGCAGATAATTTGTATTCTAGATTCACAGATGAAGAGAAACTTGTTTCAGGTTGGAATTTAGAGTTGGAAGAATTTGACAATGACACAATGGGGTCCTGGTGAAGGATAAGTCCTATCCTGTTAACTGCAAGTTATAAGATTCAAACCTACCAGTTGCCCCTCAAAAACCCTATACAGAGTCATGATGAGTATGAACTGACATCATGGCACTTAACAAGAGCAACAATATATAAAGGCTATGCACTACAGCTTTGCCTACTTTATTGCTTTCTTTTCAATGAGTCAAAGGTCCTTCCCTGTCTTACTCCGTAGAAAGAATTCCAAATCTGTCACTTCTGGATACAAATAATCCTCAGAGCATTACATACAGTAAAGATGCAATAATAAATGGCAAGCATCCCACTCATTCAACAAACACATTGAACATCAAGTGTGTACAAACCTTATGAACTATGTTGGGGATGATATCGAAATATGATAATTTTCTGTTCCCCACATACATACAACTTTGTAAGTGTGATAATACAGGTACATAGTCTACAGTTGTTGTTAGGTGCCATTGAGTCGGTACTGACTCATAGCAACCTTAGGCAGGGAAAAACGAAACACTGCTCAATCCTAAATTAACCTCACTACTGTTGCCACGCTTGAGACCACTGATGCTGCCACTCTGCCAATCCATCTTCCTTGAGGTCTTCCTTTCTTTCTCTGACCCTCCACCCAACCAAGCATAATATCCATCTCTAATGACTAGTTCCCCCTGACAATATGTCTAAAGTATGAGAGACGACGTTTGGCCATCCTGGCCTCCAAGGAGCCTGGCTGCACTTCTTCCAACACAGATCGGCTGTTTTTTTGGCAGCCCATGGCACTTTCAGTATTTTCCTCCAACACCATAACTCAGAAGTATCAATTCTTCTATGGT